CATTAGTGCCAAAGCCTAAACAATTCTAATTAATCCACAATTATGCATAGATTATGCTGAAAAAAACTCACCTTGTCATCTATGAACCTTGTGATGAATCTTGCTTTGGCTCTCTCAAATGGATCCTTGGGGAGCAGAGAATACCCAGTACTCCAAGTATCCTCAATATATTCAATTATGATCAGAGACTCTACAATTGTCTTTCCTCCATGGATCAGCACAGGGACCTTCTTGTACACTGGATTGGACTCCAGAAGCAAACTGCTTTTGTTTGAAAGATCCTCCTCAATATAATCATAAGGAACTCCCTTCAACCTCAAGGCGAGCTCGACTCTACGGCTGAATGGGCTTACCCACGCTCCCAAAAGCTTCACTTGCGCAGACATTTTTTGCTTGTTTTGATCACTATTGTAGCTATGCTTTTATAGCGGAAGAGATGAGCTCAGGGCTGACGACCTTTAAGTTAATATCTGTTATTAGTCTAATAGGAGTAGTTCAGACTTTGAAGATTTTTGCTTCGCATCGAAGGGTCCAAGTCAATGCGTGACTCTCTCTTTGCATAATTCTTAAGATGCCCCCAACGAGTCGGCTTTGAGTTCCATATCATACATCATACATCATACATACATATACCTTTTAAAAGCACGAGTTCAGGAAAATCTTTCTATGATCAATATTGTCATTTACTATTTTAAATATTTTATTTATATATTAATCTATCCTAATCATAATTATATCTTATTCTAATCCTATGTGAACTGTTTATAGCTTAACAATTTAAAAAAATAATATTAATAAAATATATAAAATATATTGCATTAGTTTGTTAAGATAAAGAAATTATACGTAGCTAACGTACTATAATACATAAAATATTGTAAAAAAACCTAAAAAGTTTTTAAATTGCACAAAATACCCTGAAAAGTTCAAAATTATAAAAACTATCTCGACGTCTAAAAACTTAAAACAACAAACATGAAATCAAGAAATTAACAGTAGTTTAAGAAAAAATTCAAATTTATGGTTAACATCTCAATATCTAAAAAATTATAGGAATACCCTCAAAAGTTCAAATTACAAACAAGCACCTGAAATTCTAAATTTTTTAAACTTGCAAACAACATAGATGAATTTAAGGGATTACCATAACGCACCTGAAAATTTCTGACATTTCAAACATGAAAACAACAAACATGAAATCAAAAAATTAATAGCAGCCTCCCAAGAATTTAAAATTTTTAATTAACACCTCAATGACCCAAAAACTATAGAAACACACTCAAAAGTTCAAATTATAAAAAACAACCATAAAGTTTTTAAACTTTTAAAATTTACAAATAATAAAAGATGAATTAAATAGATTACCCTCATGCACCTAAAAATTTAAAATTTGCCGAAATTAACCTCAAAGTTACAAAAGTTGTAGAAAAACTCTTTTAAAATTTGAAAATCATAAAAAAAAACTCTAAATTTTTAAAATTTATAACCAGTACATATCAAATCTAAAAACTATTGGTAGACTGTTGAAATTTAAAATTTTAAAAATTAATCTACAGTTTTAACATTTGCAAAAAGTAGCCTCAAAATTTCAGAGTTGTAAGAAATATCGTGATATTTAAAAATTACCACCGACACATGAAACATAAAAGTTACAACTACCAAACTTAAAAGTACTTTTTTAAAAAAATGCTCTTAAAGTTTAAAAATTACAAATCACACCCTCAAAGTTTAAAACCATAAAAAAGGCTCAAAGTTTAAAACCATAAAAAAGGCTCAAATTTTAAAACTTGGTAAAGAAAAGTATAGTTATTAGGTACTCTTTCATTAATATATGTTCCGATAATTACTAATTAATACAGAGGATAATCGAAGTATAACTTTTTTTTCCTTCTTTCCTTTCTGGAAACTCAGTGGTATAGAGAATTTCATATGTGCATCTCTATAGTCCAAGAGTGTAACTGAATCTAAACAATTATAGCCCAAAAAATAAAAGAAAAGGAAAGGAAAAAACAAAAGATAGAAGCTAAAAAGTAAGATAGCATATAGGCAATTTGCAATGAAATGTATGAGTATCTCTTAAGTAGTTAGATCATCAGGGCCGGCCCAAGCTTTTTTGAGGCCCTGTGCGAAATGATAAAATGAGGCCCTCTTCTATATAAATGTTGAACTATAAATTTATTGAATTATATTTATTGGTGTGTTTCCTAGTTAATAGGGAATAGTTAATTGGGAATTAATGAGTTCAAATTGAATTTCCTAAACTTTAGGAGACAAATGAGCAACTAATCATAATTGTAGTACTAATTGGTGTATATTTCCGATAAAATGTAAATCAGATGGGTCATGGGTGTTAGGCAGTTAGGCTTAGGCAATGGACATAAATTATTATTTAATTTAGTGGGCTAGTATTAGATTATTAGGTCCTTTTTTAAACAAACAAAAGACTTATTGGAAAGAATTAAGAAATATACTATGGGCATTTTTTAAAAATTTGGGGCCCCCTTTGAAATGGGGCCCTGTGCGGTCGCCCCCCCCCCTACCCCCCTCTTGGGCCGGGCCTGTAGATCATATATAATGTTAATCTTACAAATGAGTCCTGTTGAGAAAAACTACTGTTTTGATTACTTTAATTAGTGTTCACTTATTTGTTATAGATGAACCTTTTAAACAAATGATAGTGTACAAACAAACAAATAAATAATACTCATGTAAACTTTTGTAAAAGATCGAACATTTATATAGTCATAAGAAAGGAAACACCACCTGAAGTAATTAAATAGCTGTTTATATCGTTCAAACTAAGGATATAGTCCTCTTTACTGTAGCTAGAGAATGGAGACACCCTACTTCGTCAATCATAGCCGTCTATTATTGATGAGGACATGGCACAACCTCCACTTCGCACATATTTTCGTTGCTACCGTCGTGTTGCCTCAGCTCATATGTGACTTTGATCTTGAGAAGGCTTGGAACTAGTATTACTTTTTATTTCCTCTTTATTGTATTTGCTCATTTTAGTCCCACATCGGATATGAGAGTGAACTTGTAGTTGTTGAAGGCCTATTTAAAGAGGCCAATTCTATGAAATAAAGCAATGATTATTTAAAGAAAATTTGGTTTCCTTTGTGAGACTTTGGGTAATTGATTTGATCTTTAAGATTGAGTCAATGGTGGTGAAGCCAAGGCCCGGATTGCGATCCGTGGTCATATCGTGTTAAAATTGTTAATTTGTTATCTTTTCAAACCCTAGCTTTCCCCAAATCATTGTTCTTCCCCAAATCTCCCAAATCCCCGTCATAAATCCCGTTGTCCCACTTCGATCCGCGGAGGTACAATGTTAGTTACATAAGAAAGATACTGGCTCTGTTTGGCAAAACTAGCTGAAAGCTGCGAGATTATAGCTGAATGTTGTTAAGCTAGCTGAAAGCTGTGAAATTGTAGCTGAAAGCTGATAGCTGTGTAGCTAGCTGATTGACTAGAGCTGTTTGGCAAAAGTAGCTGTACAACTAGCTTAAATTTGTTAAATGACTAAAAAGGACATGCAATATTATTGATATAAAATTAGAATTATTAGGGGTAAAAACGGAAGAAAAAAATTGGCAGCTCCTTCCCAAAGGCTCTGTTTGGCAAAACTAGCTGAAAGCTACGAGATTATAGCTGAAAGCTGTTAAGCTAGCTGAAAGCTGTGAAATTGTAGCTGAAAGCTGATAGCTGTGTAGCTAGCTGATTGACTAGAGCTGTTTGGCAAAAGTAGCTGTACAACTAGCTTAAATTTGTTAAATGACTAAAAAGGACATGCAATATTATTGATATAAAATTAGAATTATTAGGGGCAAAACGGAAGAAGAAAAATTAGCAGCTCTTTCCCAAAGACAAACGCTACTTGAGGTAGCTTTCCAAAAACTACTTGCAAAAGACACAATCTCTAAAATAATCTCCTCCTATTTTTTGTCACCAAACAGCTCTACTAGCTTATTGACCAAGTCAATAAGACACAATCTCTCTTAGATAAGACACAATCTCTTGTTGCCAAACCGCTATGGGATGACTATGATTTTATTGAGCCCTCAATTAATGTAAAAAAAGAAACCACCTTTTCATCTATGAACCTTGTGAGGAATCTTGCCTCGGTTCTCTCAAATGGATATCTGGGGAGCAGAGAATACCCACTCCATGTATCCTCAATGAGTGCTGCTACGGGGACCCAAAATATGGGACCAAGGGAGGGGACAAGTGAGGTGTCCCCTCCCTATTGCATAACGAGTTGGCATGAGTTGGCATAGCCAACTCATTATGCAATAGGGAGGGGACACCTCACCTGTCCCCTCCCTTGGTCCCATATTTTGGGTCCTTAAATCATTTTCCATCCTCAATATATTCAATTAGGATAAACGATTGGGCAACTGTTTTTGTTCCGCGGATGAGAACAAAAATCTTCTTGTACACAGGATTTGACTCAAGAAGCAAACTGCTCTAGTTCGAAATATCCTCTTTGATGTGATCATAAGGAACCCCATTCAGCCTCAATGCAAGCTCGACACTTCCACTGAAAGGACTTCTCCGTGATCCCAAATGCTTCACTCACTCATTTTTGCTCGTTTTGATCTGTACTATTGTAACTATGCTTAATTTATAGGGGAAGAGATGAGCTCAGGCTGGACGAACTTAGAATATTTCTCTCTTCTATTATTGAATTGAATGAATAATAATAAGAGTAGTTTGTAGTTCAGACTTTGAAGATGCTTACTTAGCATCGAAGGGTCCAAGCGATGAAAGCCTGCGATGCTTGACCTTTTCTTCGCGGTATATGTAGTTTCTATGTTTTCGTAAGGGGTTAGTATAAATGTCTGACCATTTGATAGATCAATCTCTCAAGCCATGACATAAATATTTCGGTGTTGGAATGCACTAATAACTTTTACTTTGAATAGTATTGAAAAGAAAACTTAAATCAAAATGTCCAAATTGAGACAGCGAACAGTACGAAAACTTATCCCACAACAATAGAACTTCTACATGCTTCTCATTTAAAAATTCGGCACAGTTGGGTAAAAACCCCTAATCTTTTCATATTCCACTAAGGAATTAGACGTTCGACATTTTTCCATAACCCGAAACAAAAAGGATCCATATATCCCCCAGTACGTTATTCGTATCCTTCATCCAAATACTAATTACTAGTAGCAACCACAGAATCAACCAGACTGCTTAACATAAGCTTGGATGAATTCTTTCTTCCCACTGTAAAAATCAACCAGTTTTTCTCTCTCAGGCAAGATTTTCTTGGCAACATCAGAGTTCAAGAACTCTTGACACCATTTCCATAAGATGGGATGATCTTCTACAGTGAAAAGATTTGCTCCAGCCACTTCTTGATGAACTCCAGTCCATAAAGCAATGTAGGCTGCAGCAATGTCAAGAAACCCAATTTCATCTCCCGCAAAGAATCTTCTACCTCCAAGCTCTCTTTCAAGAATGCTCAGATATTCTTTCGACTGCTTCATCGTGGTCTTCTGCATGTCACCATCGCCCCAGATGGCCTTTCGGAATGTAGGAAGGCACTGAGAACAAAATGGAACTAACACATTAAAATAAAACTATGGGTAATCAGATCTGTAGTTTTATTGCTGCAAATAGACCTTGTGGGTTAGTTTTTTTTTTCTCTCTTTTTATCCTCGGACGGACTCACTAATTTCACCCTGACGCAGTATCTGTCAAATTTTCAATCAGGATGAAAAGAATCAAAAAGTTCAATCCAGGAGGTCTATCGGCAACAATATGAAACTAGATGTTTA